TTCAGACAACAGTTCCTAATAAACTTAATCCAGTTCGATACTCATTTTCACTTTACTGATATCTTCCATAACATTTAACCAGTATTTGTTCTTTCCTGTTAACTTTCCTGCCCTTCAAAAAACTTTTTCTTGTGATTTATACTGAATATTATTATTGGGTTTCAGTATGTTTCTAACTTGTGTCTGCCAATCTCTATCCGCCCGACAGTTGGTATCTCTTCTAGCCTTGATTGTTTATTCAAACATTTGGCAGATAGTTCTTAAGAAATCATTTGTTTACCTTTTGTGTTTGTTTTTATGCTGAAATTGGTCAAAAGTGGTTTTTCCCCCAGAAGTCCCTTTTTTGAACTTGAGGTATAGGAAAACATATCTTAAATTGATATTATCATTATATTTATATTGTTATGGATGAATACTATACCTCAATATTTGTCATTAGACTTCTATAAAGTTGTTATAAATCATGCATCATGCACATAGGGTAAAAATGCACTCACCTTTGAGATTATATGATATCATAAGGATAAGGATAATCCAGATAAATCACTTTAAAGTTATTTTTCAGTTTCCCGATTGGCTCTCCTCCCTCATTGAAAGATCATTGTTGATTTATTTATTAGAACACATTTACACACGCGCGTATATTTTTTTGCCTTTGTAGTGCTCTTGGATTGAAATATGTGTCAAATTTGTCGTGATTAAATGCAAAACATTTTTCAATATCTTGTCTACTCAGACAATAATCTGAAAAGTAAATTGCAGGGTGAGTTTTCATATTGTGTACCTAAACGGTAAGGTAATACTTTGCAATCAAATGATTAAGCTTTTAAAGTGTTTGAATCTGTGTGTTTTTTTATTTAGAGCGTTATTCTTTTTCTTTTTTTTTTTCGAACATTTCTTATATAAATTTATTATTTTCTTTAAAATATTCTTTTAAATTCCTTCAAAGGCGCCGCTTGTATGAACATTGCATAGTGTGGTGTTTAATAGATTCAATGTCATTATATCAATATCTCAAAGACTCGATTGAAAAATTGTGTGCTTTTTTTTTTTTTGGTAGCATATATTTTATATAGATCTTTGTTACAGTATTGAAAAATTCTGAAGATCGTGTCTTGTGTTGTTCTTATAATGTTCTTGAATATGTTTATATACACATATCTTTATTTGCTTAGTTAGTCTCCTACGAATCGTGGGCAGTATATTCTATGTTAACATTAAAAGTATATATGTCTTTTCACTTATTATAAAATTAATGAAGCTTTAATGACTTTTCAGTGTGTCTTTATATATTTTGGATAGTCTGTTGACATAAGATTGTGCAATTCTGAATCAGAAATGTCAAAAAGATGTATTTTTTTCTTGAATCAGTCATTTTATTCAATTTCCACGATGTTATCCCTTTTTTCTTCTTTGGTTTATATTCCAAAGATATCAAAGATTTTTTTTTTTTTTTTTTTTTTTTTCGTTATTCTAAAAATATGAAGCAGTAACACTTATAGATAAAGATTTATTTTGGTAAATCAGAAACTTTGATAGAAACTTTGCCAGGAAATGTAAGTTTTTTATGTCGACAATTTTCAAAGAATCAATGAAAGGTTCTAACTTCTACTGTTAACGTTGTAAATTCTTCAAATAACAACACACTGTATTTTTCATCTAAAGTATTACAAAGCTGATGTAGAATAATCAGCTTCGGAGAGATGTGGTTCTCCAGTTTTAAAACGGCTGACCGAAACCATGCATAATTAAAATAAAACAAAGATTCATATCAAAATAAAGAGAGATTAGCACACGGCAGACTTAGCTCAGAAGGTTATAATTAGCCCGCTCAATGAATAGTTGCCTCAACAGTTCTTACATTAATTCAGGGTCGATTATCATTTCCTGTCTTAGACCTTTGTTAATGTCTTTAATACACCTTATGACATAGCTATTACTTTTAAATCAATCATAAATTTTGATTCGAAAATCAGGGGTTTAAGTAAGTTAGAACATATCTGATTTCCATTAATGATACAGTAGACGAAGGTTCTTTTGTCTCTTTAGATCTATCAACTGCTGTGTCTGTCTTAAACGTCTCTGTCCTCAAAATGCCTCAGTAAGTACTTTGCTATCTGTTTTACTTACTATTTTATGTACTTGATGAACATATAAGCAACGTTCGTAAGAGTAATAGGATGCTTGAATAACACATATTATTAAGTAATCGTCCTTGTATCTATTACAAAAAAGTTAATGAAACTATCATGTGATCATGGGTCAGGTGACAATTATGCATCGCAAGCAATTTAAATGCTTTTAATTAAACGCTTGTCAGCTTTATTGCCCAAGTTAAACATAAAAACGACTAACAGCATCGTATTATGTAAATTGTCATTTCATCACATTAATCAAAATTATAAAAAGCCCCCGAGTGCAAATCACATAACTCATTAGACGCATGGATTAAACAAAACCGGTTTACTTTATTTGATGCAACAATCATAAGCGCATAAGCAGGCTTAGCGTATTAATAAAATTAACAAGGTGTTTAATTTTTGAACTGCGTTTGTTTGTTGGAGTTTAAGGGCACAATAACACATTACTGGCTATACCCCGCCAAACACTATTATTGTAAACATTAGATTATTAAACTTAAGAAGAGTCACCGCCGGACGGCTGCAACGCTCGACCTTTTTACTTTTTCTTAAAGCAAACAAATAAACGGTTTCAACAATTTTTTTTTTTTAAATAAAAGAGAAAAAGTTTGTACCTCTCTGGCGTGGGTTCGATCCCCGGGAGATGCTTTGGTAGTTTAGCGCGGAGGAAGGTAGTCTAGTACTGGTGTAACTCTCAAGGAACGATGGTTAGGAAACTACCCGCCTATATGACTGAAATACTGTTGGGAAAAGGCGTAAAATGAAACAAACAAACAAAGTCTTACATATTTCTAATAATGTGAGTAAAGTTTTAATACAAATGAATAGCAGATAAAATTACGCATTTAATAGAATGAGATATCATTTTTATTTTTTTATTATTTTTTTTTTTAATAAAATGTATGCTGTTAATATGATAACAAAAAATAAAAACCATGTGTGCAAATCACAGAAATCATTAGACAAATGGCTTATACAAAACCTGTTTACGTAATTCCATGCATCAACCATTGACGCAGTAGCATAGTTCGCCTATCAATAAAATGTACAATGTGACCTAAAATAGTTTGTGTTTTAATATAAATTTAATTTATTTAAAGATAACAAATTATAGTCAGTTACAGAAAAAAGCAAGAGAATTTCATTTATTTTACAAGGGCATTCAGTGTCAATTTACAGTCAAGTCATTATTATTCAATATGTTTGTTTGGCGGCAGTCTTGTTTTGTCCAACTTTTAAACAAATCTGGACATTATAACATATTTTTGTCAATAAACTAAAGTTCCATAATTTTACATTGACGGTCAAGGAAATTAAAATCTTAAGGTCAAGGTCAGTTCAGCCGTTTTGAAATTCGTTCTCAAAATGATGTTGTGTCAAAGATTAAACATAATCCATTTATTCATTAGCAAGTTACAGTCGATTTTAGGAAAATTCACGATAATTTAAAATTTTAACCCATAAAAAGTCAGGTCAATGTGGTTTTCATATACATGAAATCTTATCCTAAAAAGAATTTTTTTCAAATTTAAAAAAATTTTTAAATAATTAAAGGCAAGGTCACCTTAATTAAAGGTTTGGGTCTTGGAAACCTAATGTATATCAAAATGTTTAAAGTTTAAAAGACAATATTCGTAAGTATATAGTAAAAAACATAATAGAAAAATATCAGCCAAATTTAGACATAAGACCTTGAAGGTCAAATTTATTAAGGAATGAAGGTCGAAGTTAGTATTGTCTACATAAAGGTCTTGTCCAAAGGATATGAAGACAGGACACCACAAACTAAAAAAGCTATTATCAACGTACTGTACAAGTTTGCGGATGGCATCGGCCAAGGCAACGGCAACGCCGAAGTGACTTATACAATACTTCTAAATTTTATTTAAAAAAAGTCGAGCTAAAAAGGGTAAGTAGGGTAAGTACAAAGTTGTAATATGATATATTAAATCTTAGAATACAGATCTACGTATTTATTTTAAATAACCATTAATGTTTTCAAAGGAACTGATACAAAAGATTCAAAACGTTCTGACCGTTATCTTACCCTGTAATGTCTATCACGAATCTGTGCAAGATCATTGTAATCAAGGAGGAAATGTTTGACAGTAAGAAAATCATTGCATCCTGTCTAATAATTCCTGCTTAAATATGATTCGTGATAAATATTACCGGACTAATTCTAAATTACAGTACAAACGTTTTTACAGAAAAAATGGATCAAGAGAACAATACATTTGATCGGCAGTATTTTTACATTTCATAAATAGCATGAATAAAATTACATGCCAAATTAATCGCGATTAATTGTCCCTCAAAAAATTTATATATCATACACTTTTAAATTAATAGTCCTGTATTCTAAAAGTTTTGTGTTGAGCTGGTAACGTCCTTGCTATGACATGTAGTAATACATTATGTATGCTCTAATGATCGCTGATGTGATAAAACATGTCACTGTATTAAATATGTAAGCACCATCGTAACCATGTGGTAAACAGTAGTTTTGAATAAAAGTTTATATATCATATTTCATTGCATTAAGTTTGTGATGTTAAATTTGTTTTTTTAATGGCTTACTATTTTTCATTGTATCATCACAATTGTAACGTTCACTAATTTTCTAACAAATGACAGTTAACATGACATTGAAAATTTAACTAACATCATTATCATAATCTTTGCTTTTGTCTCAAATAATGAAAACGTAAATCGAGATAAATAATTATACGATATGCTCTTTGTGATCCACCATGTCGGATTATATACCGAATTATGAAAATCATTCGATATTTTATGGAAAAACTAAAGGATTTAAAATTCAGTCACCATGTGAAAACCAGTCTAGAAATAAATATTATAACAATTTCAACGAATTTCCTGAACAGGTCAAGGAAAATAATGAACAAAATGAGTGCAACAACCAATTGTGTCCGAGGAAAAGTATTACTGAATGTTTAGACGTTTCAAGAATAAGGGAACTTGAGCAACTTTCGGCAACCCTGATACAATTTCTAAATGAAGCAAGAAATAATTGTGATATGGAGGTAAGTTTATTGAATTGAATTCAAAAAAGTGTCATCAAGAATAAAAAATACATACACTCATGTTCAATTAGCCCTTATTTGTTATTTTGTAAATTCATACACATTTTAGTATTGCTTTATAAATAGTTTTTGTACTAATAGACAGTGAGTAAGGTTAATGAATCTTATGAAAAAATCCCTTGTTATATAATTACGGCCATAATGGTTTTCCATTTTGGATAGATTATCGTTTACGTCAATAATAATAATAATTAAATACCAATTTAACATTTTGCAATGCAAGCATGGAAGAATGGTAAGAAAGTAGCATCATAACGATCGATAATACAGAGCAACGTTCATAGAACGCAGTCCTGATAAAATCCAGTCTCAAAAGATTACTGCAAACGCACATAGTGGCACTGAATAAAAAGTCGGAAAATACACAGAAGAGTGAAGTTCCAGTCAAAAAATAACATTACTTTAATTGTTTGTCATTGCACATAGTTCATACTCATACTCGTGATATTCAACATTCAGCGGTTAAAGTGGTGGAAACACCAATTCGCCCAATTAATGGTCGACAACATATACTTATTTCTTCACCTCTGTTATATAGTTTTTTGTATGTTATCATTATGATTACTTTAAATCTTAGGGAAGATATTCGTGTTGCGATACAAACAAACTGAAATCGTGGCATGGGCGTACAGTACAGGTTGAGCATGATCGATCACGTTTTCAGATAACCAATGAAACACTGTGTCCTGAAACAGGAAGAAACAAAGATCACAGCATTGCAGCTGATCGCAAAAATGCAAAACAAATTCCGGATAACATGGACTATATAAATAACGTTCGTAAACGAAAGGCTCAAACTCCATTGATGTCCGAGGTAAGACATCCATCAGATATAACAAATTCAGATTTGTTTATAACAATACAAGAATATCTCGTTATGATAACACTTGGTTTGAGATAAACATTATATTACACTTGAGGTTGTGTTTTTTTTCTGGAATGGTTTTACGTATCATAAACACACTTAGATCATATGATAGTATATGTAATTTAGCGACTTTTATGCTTTAATTGTGGGAAAAACCTCAGGTGCCCTATGGGTTTTTTCCTTAATCCCTCTGCTACAGACGCCCTTAACACTTTTGACTATAGCGCGTGGTTCCTGCTTTTTAAAGTTGCCTTTTGACACCTTATCGGTGATATGCAAGCTTCATAACCTCTGACCAAATTTAAAAAAATCATTTTGTTTACTTACTTAATACGTATTAACTTGAGTTTGCTTTGACCTATTGACATGGAACTTGCTGTTAGGGTAACCTATGTAAAGATACATTTGGGATTTCTACTTAATTTCTGGGAACAAGTTCATGGTCACTTGCTCACAAGAGAATTTTAAATTTCTTCTAAATAACTTCTGTATACTTTGACCTATTGATACGTAACCTTAAATGTGTGTAGCTTACACGAAGATGTAGACCGGCATTGCTTTTCAGGTATCTGGTATATTTTTCTTGTGAACTATTTTAACCGACATTCTGCGTTGGTACAAAGAACAGCATCAATTTTCTTAACTGCCATATTTAATTCCTAAGGCCTGCCATATCAATACTTCGTTGTTAAAAATCTGGTTTTTATAGCTTTACGGCGCTTGCTTTTTTCCAGATGTTTGTCAAAGGATCTAAGTTCAAGAGGGATTTAGTTTCAAATTTATCGACACCGAACAATGCTGCTGCAAAAGTAGTTGACGAATTGGTTTTAAGCCAAACAATTAAGGCGACGGCAAGCAATTTACAAAAGAAACCAGAAGTATCTTCAGAAGAAGTATCCGATCACGGTACTTCTTTTTAGTTATTTCTTTGGCAGTAGTACCATGTTTAAGTGGAATACAGATATTTGCTTATGTATCATTCAAAACATTTTAGATACTTTTTTATGGAACGCCGTGACTGTCTTATGTAATCAATGTTTGTTCTTATCTTGTGAAACGATGATATTATTATGTCGTTTGAGCATGTTAACATGTGCAATTTACATCATGTCTTGTCAAAGGAACATGTTAACATGTACAAACAGCATGTTAACTTGTCAAATTATTATGATGACATGTGCAGACAGCATGCTAACTTGACAAAGTATCGTGATGACTTGTGCAAATGACATGGTAACTTGACAAAGTATAATGATGACATGTGCAAAAGACATGGTCAAACTTTGTCAAAGTATAATGATGACTTGTGGCAAATGACATGGTAACTTGTCAAAATGTTATGATGACTTGTGCAAACGACATGTTAACTTTCGAATTATTGTGATGACATGTGCAAACAGCAATGTAAACTTGTCAAAGTGTCATGATGACTTGTGCAAACGCCATGTTAACTTGTCAAAGTATAATGATGACTTGTGCAAACGACATGTTAACTTGTCGAATTATCGTGATGACATGTGCAAATAACAATGATGACTTGTGAAAACAACATGTGAACTTGTCAAAGAATCGTGATGACTTGTGCAAATGACATGTTATCTTGTATCATGCTGACATGTCAAAACGTACTGTTAACTTGTCAAAGTATTATTATAACTTGTGCAAATGCCATGCTAACATGTCAAAATTCCATGATGACATGTGTAGACAGCATGTTAACTTGTCGAATTATCGTTATGACATGTACATACAGCAAGTTAACTTGTCCAAGTGTTATGATGACTTGTGCAAACGACATGTTAACTTGTCCAAGTATAATGATGACATGTGCAAATGCCATGCTGACTTTTTAAAATTTCATGATGACATGTGCAAACAGTATGTTAACTTGTCAAATCATCGTGATAACATGTGCAAACAACATGCTAATATGTCCAAGTATCATGGTGACTTGTGAAAGCGATATGTTAACTTGTCAAAATTTCATGATGACGTGTGCAAACAGCATGTTAACTTGTCAAGGTATCGTGATGACATGTGCAAACAGCCTGTTAACTTGTCAAATTATCATGATGACTTGTGCAAATGCTATGTTAACTTGTCAAAATATCATTATGATTTGTGCAAACAACATGTTAATTTGTCAAAAAATCGTGATGACATGTGCAAAACACATGTTAACTTGTTAAGGTATTATGAGCAAGTCATCACGATAATTCGACAAGTTAACATGCTGTTGCACATGTCATCATGAAATTTTGACAAGTTAACATGTCGTTTGCACAAGTCATCATGATATTTTGACAAGTTAACATGTCGTTTGCACAAGTCATCATGACACTTTGACAAGTTAGCATGTTGTCTGCACATGTCATAATGAGTATTCGACAAGTTAACATGCTGTTTGAACAAGTCAGCATTGTCTTTAGACAAAATATGATGTAAATTGCACATGTTAATATGCTTAAATGACAAAATAATATCATAATTTCAGAAGATAGCAAAAACATTGATAGCATAAGACAGTCACGGCGTTCCATACTTTTGTTCGAATGCCATTATGATTTGGTTTATATATAATACGTGAACAGTATACTTCTCTTTTTATTTAAGATATACTATGCTCAAATTTGATATTGAAAATATTAATAGTTGCTACACAGTCTCTTTGTAAATATAAAATAACTCTATGTTTTGACTTCGCACAAAATAGATATGTTCTGTCTAAAGCAGCATGCCTTCAGATTAATGCTTATTTTCATGAAAATTTTGAAAATGTATTATAAAGTATAATATTGTGCAGTAACCAAAAGGAAGCAACTTAAACATTATCAATGGCACATATAACCAATGTTTATTACAAAAGTGGTCAAAATATGCAACAATTGCCCTTACTGCGTTAGTAACGCAATAGAAATGTAGTTATAAATAATGACAAATTAGCAGTTAGTCACTCATAATATGCAAAATTACAAACAGGTTTTGAGCAGCAGTAGACAGACGGGTAAGTTGGGAAGTATACACCCCGTTTAAAAACTAGAAATTCGCTATTTCGGAAATTGTTACCAATACATATGGGATACCCCTTTATATTTTTATGAGGTGATTAAATTAACGAAGAACAATGAGTTGGCGAGCAAGTCTCTTGGTTTCAGGTCGCGCAAGCGATTCAAATAAGGCAAATACATGCTCACAGACAGAAAGGGCGACGGATAATTTTTAGCGGCAAATTGTTGGGACGTTTGTAACGTCAATTGCAAAAGATCTACAGAAGTCCAGACATTATGAAAGTTTTGCGAGATGTCCGACATGTTTAATTTCTGCATTGGGTCTATGCATTCAATTCTGACAAAACAATTTAATTTAATTAAAATAATATTTTATTTCATTCATCAGGATATATATGCATATTTACAATAAATAATTGTAGTTATTTTTTGTATTACGTGTATTTACCCTGGTCCGTTTGATAATTAATGCTAGCCGGTGTTCAGTAGATTTACCGCATAAAATAATTGTCAGTTGTTAAAATATTTTTCTTTATCATTGATAATCATATTGTTTAAAGATCGGACGAGGGCGGTTTCAAATTGAAACTATAAATTAACAATGGAATTAACTTAATAAGTGTCCGAAAATCCCGATAAAGAGTGGAAAGTATGCGACACTCGGACCTTTATACGGAGAATGAAGCGAAAAGATGACCACTTTATATCTTGGGTCATCATCACAAACAGAAAAATGGTTTTGGTATATGATCCGCAGATATTGAACACTAAAAAGAGTATTTTCAGAAACAATGACGCTGGTAAAATGTTTCATTTATACTGCGACGTCACGAACGTCATTTTGTTTCATCATCAGCGTGCGCCAGATTGTGCACCACTTGTGATTTGTAACTGTCACAGAATTGTTATTTGTAAACATATTGGATTGATTTTTTCACTGTTCATTTAAGACATATTTTCATATATGTCTCTTGTAAAATCATATACGCAAGTTAAAAGATGTTAACAATAGAGCCGCAGTCCACGAACTTTATGAACAGCCCTCGTATATCTTTAAAGTTCATGCGGTGAGTAGAATGTGTACAAACTAGAAAAATGATTACATTCTTAGACGTTTTTGTAAATATTACATATTTTCATAGTGAAATCTTTTAACAGGTACAAAGAGAGTCTTGCATTTTAAAGATGACGGATTATCAAAGCTTGGAAATTTGTTGCCTGAATGTCCTAAAAGGTATATTAATCATTGCATTTTCAGAAAAAGACAAAACATAAATAATTCAATTCTTACTTCTCAAAAAGCTTGTTTTTAAGTATCCTGTTATATATTCAAAAAGGTAACTCATTGGTATTTTGTATGAAAGTCAAAATGCTACTTTGTTTTCATTTCGCCTCTGTTTTGAAAACTTATTTCACGTTCAGAGCTACTTTCTTCATGTTATACACATAAACATCTAACAAGCTCTCCTAAAACCAGCGTCTATACGTTATAAAACTCACGTTTGCCCTTTCTTTTTAAATTAAAATAATTCGCTTGTGTTGCATAATGTGCTTTTAACGAAATGGCAAGCACAAAAGTGCGATTTAAAATTCTACACATCAAGTACATACATAATAACCACATAAATCAATTTACAAAAAACTGTAATTTCGCATCGTTTTATAGAACCATTTTGATATAGTTTTAAAGATCCTGTAACAGAATTTGTTCATAGTTTTATTTCATAAATATTATGCTCCAATTAAGATTTGCCAATATTGTAAGCTCAAATAACCATTATTCATAAAGATATTACCCAATTTAACATTTCATGTATATAAAGGGAGGAAATTAGAAATGTATTTTCCATAAATTCTAGGTCAAATTTTCCAATAAGAAATGAATGCATGTAATTTATTGATTGAATATAATGTGCACAAATATTTGCAGTACACCTTTTACATATATAATTTTTGCAAGTGTGGTATACACACAGTAACAATATCCATCACAAAACATACATGATCTTTAAGTGTATTTAAATAAACAGTTTTAAATAATATACTATAAAAAAGGCAACACTTTACAAGAAAGTCTGAAAAATTCCCATAACATACCTATTGCAATAACTGTTTTCTATGAGATGCAAGTTAACACTTAGTGTCAAGAAATAGTTTCTTAAATTAAAGGTCGAATAAAGATGGTGCTAATCTTCAACTATTGCAAGACAAAATGGATGACACTGATCGCAATATTAACTTGTTTTTGGAAAGGATTCGGGTATGTTTTTATCACATCAACAGCATTTTAGTCAATAATTTCAAAGGTTAGATTTCATAGTTCAAATATCTTAACATCGCTTATCTTATATGATTGTCAGTACAATTAAATGTTTATCATTAAAATGTCAAAGATATATACATATGTATCCTTAGAAACATGTTATCATGATCGTGCTTTATAAATAAATTTTACACGCGTGGTAAAGGTGTCCAACTGTAAAAGTTACTCGCAACATAACAAAGTTACTATCCAGTTAAAATTTGAACGGTTTAAATTCATTATACTTTGCATAGTAACAACTAGTTATTTGTTCTCCTATAACAGTACTAGTGTTACAGTTGTTAAGATTTAAATCTAAAGTTTTGTAGTTTTGTTTACACAGTCTAACACAAAAAATGCATGCCTATAGAAAAGGGTGTCGCAGGGTATTTATAAAATATTTCTGAACTGGGGGGGGGGGTAGGGGGCACAGAAACAAACTCTCGGCGTAGGTTCGATGTTTAATTAATTAATCCAAGTAAAATGGTCTAACAAGGTTATAAATAATTATACATGTTACAAATACAATACAGTGAACACAATCGACGCGGAATAAGAAAATACAAAAAAATACGTACATAGGGCCTGAAATAAAATTTAATTTGTTTCCCCTTCCCTACGTACCAAAGAAATTTGCCCCTACCC